TATATATATAAATATATATATATATATTATATACATAGTTATGAATGTTCCAAGTTTTGCATGCTAATCAGCAGTTTGCTTGTTTGGCCTTTTGCTGATGTCACTGAGTAGAAACATCCTTTAAAAATGAGCTTAAATTCTCTCTTAATGCTCATATGTGTATGTAGATATGTATAATGCAGCTGGCAGTGTAGAGAGCTGGGTAAATTTATATTTCTTAGGCTTCTAATTTTTATCCTGAGCAGCTGATTCTATTCACACCCTAGTGTATTGGTCAATATGGCCTCGAGAGTTCCTATCATGAGGGACTTGTATTAATTATAAATATCATTACAATGAAGTCAGCATCATCTGAGCATCAAAGTAAAAAAAAATTCTTCTAATTTCAGTGTATTCTGTGTTTGCATTCTTGGAGTATATAGTGGTGCTAACGAACATGGGCTTCCACATGGCTGCATATTACGACTTCCACAACCATAATCTTGTTGTTGCAGAATGGAAAACTTCAAATAGTTGACAATCAGTGTGAGGAATAACATAACTCAAGAAGTCAAAAAGTCACTACCAATATTATCCTCAGGGTGATACATTGTACTGTTAAACATGATCATATAAAGAGATTGGTAAAAATTGTCAAGATTGTAACTTAATCTAAAATTATCTGTTTGGCCTCGTGTATTGATTTGTAAATATTGAAAGATTTTCCTTGGAGAATTATTGAAATGGCTTGTTTAACAAAGCAAATGGGATTTAAGTCAATTGTTTTGCTAGTTTTCTTTTCCTTTTCCCTTTCCTGTCCTTTCCTATGCTCTGCTCTTCCTTGCCTCTTCTCCTTTCTCCTCTTTTCTCTTGTCCTCTTCTCTTTTCTCCTTTTGTTTTCTCTCTCTCCTCCTCTCCTCTTTTCTCTTCTCCTTTTCTTTCCTTTCCTTTCCTTTCCTTTCCTTTCCTGTTTTCTCCTCTACTCTCTTCCTCTGCTCTCATCTCCTCCTTTTTTCTCTTTATCCATCCTCCCAGTGTGTGTCTCTATCATGTTGCCTATATATGCAGCTCTGAGCATGTATTAGAGGATTGATAATCTTGTACATGACTAGCAAGAGGCAGGTAGGTGCAACAAAAGTTGATACTGAGTACAAGAGAGTACAATCCCTGAGTAATGTATGCCATCCCTTGTACCCCTGTAGGTATTATTTTGGTAAGCTACATAAGTAACAAGTTTAGAACTGCATTTTTTAACTATGAAAATTGGAAATAAGAATTCGGGTTTCCCAGAAATAATGACTTGTTCCTTGTATTGTCTTGTGTAGCAGTGGCTAGTGTATCCTTCATATGAATAAAAGAATGCTTGCTATGTGCTGTAGAGTTTCCGTTTGGAAACTGTAAGGTTAGCAGGAGTTAGTCCTGCCTTTCAAGATAATTCATTTAAAGGCATAGGCTGCCTGCATTTTAAACTTGCTATGCAAATGCACATATTAGCTTTATTGAAGGTACACTTTAATGAGTTATGCTTTTCCTCACGAGTACAGTTCACTAGATTAAGAATAACCACTGAAAGTTAGACTACTAAATGTTGCATTTCACTTTCAAGATTGTTAAAGTGTTTTCATCCGTCATTATATTAAGAATGATAGTACAAATCTGTCTGGTAAGTCCTGGATTTTTAAGTTTTCTATTTAGAATTTAACCTCTATAAACCTCTACTAAATGGAACATTATATGATACATTCCAGCTCATTGAATTAACTTTCAAGTATTGGTGCTAACATATAAGAGCATATTTATTTATATTATGTATTCAGGACTTTCTGGCATGTCACTTTAGTGAATATACAAGAAGCATTTTCTTGCTATTCTGAATGCTGATAATTACATAATTTCAGTATATGATTTCAATGTACAAAATACTACTAACTAATACTGACAGTTCAAAGCTGCACCATGGATGATCATAATTTGTATCATGAAATCTATTTTAAAAGATCATTACCATCACTTTATGAATCCTATGGTATGTCACAT